ACGCACCAAAGACAACAGATCGAGGCGGATACTACAACGAAGATGACCTCCAGGTATGGAAGGATAGATACCTGCGGAGGAAGGAAGACCCTTCCAGAAGGGATGCAAAGACAGGGGGGCATGAGCGCTCCCAAGGAGATAACATTCAAGTATAGAAGAGCTCAACCTGAGTGAGCAAATCCCGGATCCCAGATCCCAGAAGACGTGATCTCGGCCTAGATGAGTAGGTCCGAGAAAAGAAAAGCTCAACCTGAGTGAGCAGATCCAAGATTCCAGAAGATAAGATCTCGGCACTTGAGTCCGAGAAGAGAAGAGCACAATGAGCAGATCTCAGATCCCAGAAGATAAAAAAGAAACACACAAGATCAGACTAAAGTTGGCCAGAATTGAGAAGTATGCTAAGGCCGAGGAAGACATGACTTTTTGTACTCTTCAGCCGAGATAAGGATCTAGGCTAAAGAGTGGTTGGTAGGGATAAGTAGATTGCAAGGTTGAAATCAAGATTGGTATCTCAGAAAGAAATTGTTATACTTCATACAAGTTATAGTTGAATAATGGATGCAGGTATAAACCGAACAGAAAGATAAAAAAATTGAAAATTTCATTCCAAAAGTGCATTACAAAAGGAGGGGCCATAGCCCGGTTACAAAAGCTTCCAAAGTTAGCTTCCAAAGAAAAGAAAGTGCATGGTCATGCAAAGAGGTCATCTACATCGACGTCCAATTCAACCCTAGCTTCACCTAAAGGTAGCTCGGTTATGGCAAGCACACTTTGGTTGAGCTCGGTCAAAGGCACCGCATCAGACACAACAGGCAAAGGTGGGATGGAGACCACTGGAGTTGGAGAGATGGACTGGCGACTGAGCTGTGCCGAGGTTATCTCCGAAGATATCGGAATCCGAGATAAGTGGATAAGGGACAAGAGTCCTAGAATGAAAAGGGAACTCAACTTGGATGAGGGACAAGAGTTCTAGAATGAGAGATGACTTCAGTTTGTATTAAGATAAGACTCTTAGAGAGTTTATCCTAATCTTACTGGGAGTCCAAGATTAGCAGTAATCCTGAGTCCATAGAAGTTAGGCTTCTATTGGGACTAGGTTTATGTTGGCTATAAAAGAGAGGCACCCCCATGGGTCTAAAGTATGCTTTTGATATTCTGTCTAGTGAGTTAAGCATTATTGGTTATCTTTGAGAGATACTGAGTACTGACTTGATCGTCGAAGTGCCCCCGGGTGGACGAGCCACTATTGGAAACTCTTCTTTCTGTTGCAGGTCGTTCGGGCTTAATCTATTCTGTTGGTGCTCTCCAGCTGGGTACCTGTTTGGCAGTGTGATCAGAAAATCACCCACACAATTTGGCGCCGTCTGTGGGAAAGAAAGAAGAATAGATGGCTAATGACGGACGGGAGGATCAGATTGGAGACAACGCTCCTGCTGGGAGTGGGAGACCTATCAACCTCGATGTTGAAGGGGACGACCGCAACATAGAAACTCGTGACCAGAGTCACGGAGTGAAAGACGCCGGCTAGAAAGGTGACGCACCAAAGACAACAGATCGAAGCGGATACTGCAACGAAGATGACCTCCAGGTATGGAAGGATAGATACCTGCGGAGGAACGAAGAACCTTCCAGAAGAGATGCAAAGACAGGGGGGCATGAGCGCTCCCAAGGAGATAACATTCAAGTATAGAAAAACTCATTATGAGTGAGCAGATCCCGGATTCCAGATCCTGGATGCCGGATCCCAGAAGGCATGATCTCGGCCTAGATGAGACAAGAGCTCAGCCTAAGTGAGCAAATCCTGGATTCCAGATCCTGGATCCCGGATCCCAGAAGGCATGATCTCGGCCTAGATGAGTAGGTCCGAGAAGAGAAGAGCTCAACTTGAGAGAGCAGATCCAAGATTCCAGCAGACATGACCTCGGCACTTATGCCTAAGAAGAAAAGAGCTCAGTGAGTAGATCTCAGATCCTAGAAGATAAAAAGAAAACATACAAGGTCAGACTGCAGTTAGCCAGGTTGGAGGCCTTTTATAAGGTCCACAAAAGAGCATGTGAAAGCCATGCAGGGGGCAAAGAGAAGAGAGATTATTGTTTAACACTTGTTGAAATTTGTAACAATTTACTAGTTGAAGTTAAACCGAAATCATTGTTTAACACTTGTTGAAATTTGTAGCAATTTACAAGTTGAAGTTAAACCGAGATAATGTTTAACACTTGTTGAAATTTGTGGACAATTTACAAGTTAAGTTAAACCGAAATCATTGTTTAACACTTGTTGAAATTTGTGGACAATTTACAAGTTAAGCTAAACCGAAATCATTATTTAAACTTGTTGAAATTCTGTGTGAATTTACAAGTTGAAGTTAAACCGAGGTCATATTTAATACTTGTTGAAATTTTGTGTGAATTTACAAGTTGAAGTTAAACTGAGATGATGTTTAACACTTGTTGAAATTTTGTGTGAATTTACAAGTTGAAGTTAAACCGAGATGATATTTAACACTTGTTGAAATTCTGTGTGAATTTACAAGTTGAAGTTAAACCGATGTGATATTTAACACTTGTTGAAATTCTGTGTGAATTTACAAGTTATAGTTAAACCGAGGTCGTATCGAAAGGAAGATGGTTTAACACTTGCTGAAATTTTGAGAAAAATTTACAAGCTGAAGTTAAGCTGGGGTTATGATAAAGGATGATGGTTAAAACACTTGCTGAAATTTTTTTAGAAAAATTTACAAGTCAAGCTCAAGCAAAATCTGCGTACTTGTCGAAGCTACCAGGTTGTCAAAACTTGAAATATGGAAAACTGAAGTCTTGATAGAAGACATTGAGAAAGTGACAAGTCCTAAGTAACACTTGTGAAAATATTTGTTACAATATTTTCAAGTGTTAGGACAAGGCCGAGATGAGCAAGATTAGAAGTTATGACAGAGGTATTTTACCCGAAGAGATTACACAGTCAAGGTATACTTTGAAGACATGCAAATTATTCTAAGTGTAGAATCATACAAGAGCAGAAAAAAGAAGACATTCACTCAAAGAAGAAATTAGAGAAATGCATTTAAAGAAGAAAGAAGGCGCTTCGACCTGAATATTGAAAAATAAATTATTCAGACTACAAAAATGGCACGTTGGCCGGATTAAAAGCATACAAAGAAGGACAAAGTACAAGGTACAAGGTACAAGGAGTAAAAGAAGGAAACAAAACTACTCGGCATCCATGGCAGGATATAGAACACAGAGATTTCTCAGCAGCCTTCTCGGCCTCGAGCTCAGCATCGATCTCCCGAAGAGTTTGATCAAAGCTCTTCTCGGCGATTGGCACCTCGGAATTTGAAGGCAAGGATTGAAAGCAAGAATCTAGAAAAAGACACAGAAAATAGAGACAATAATGTAATTCGTAATCAAGAATGGTGAAGAAGCTATCAGGAAATCAAGACAAAAAGATTGCACAGGTGTGTCAAGCCAAGAACAGTGGCAGAAATCAACAGATGTATGAACAGTGTGTATTCAAGAAGATGATTTGGAAACAACGGGTAAAACAACAATGGTCGCTTCTTGGAAAGCAACAAGAAATAAAACCAGGAGAAACAATGGCTTACCAGAAAGAGGGAAGCCGGAATGAGAATTGCCGAAGTTTGACGACGGATGCGAAAATGACAGAATGACGTAAGCTTCACCGGAGGAGAGGAGCAAAAACAGTTGCAGAGCTTGAAAGCTTGGAACAATGACGGATTTAAGCAAAAGAGCTAGAAAGAGAAAAAACCAGAGGATTGAATGAAAAAAGAGAAAAATCAGAGTCAAGAAGACGACAAAGTTAAAGAATAAAGCCAAGTGCACAGGTACTAAGTAAGTATGTGAAGAACAAGAAAGTAATGACCCAGACACGATACTAGCAACAGAAAGCGGATATGGCAAGAACAGTGCCAGGCGTTCAAACAATTCAAAACTTGAAAACAGACGAAAATAGAAGACAACAGAGGGCAAGTAAACGGATTCAGAAGAGTTATGAAAGATTGAGCTTAATAAAAGAGTTTATGAACCTACCAAGAGAAATGAACGCCGATATAAAGATCGCTGGAGTCAAATAGATGACTGGAAGTCGGGAACCCACCGAAGAATATGAGTGGAACAGTTGCAAAGCTCTTGGAGTTTACGAATTAATGGAACAAGAACCTCGGCTAGGAGGTGTGATCTCGAGCAGCTTGGAAAGCATGAAGCTTGATACTTGACAGAAGTGGACAGTAAAGTCCAGGGAACTTTGAGGTCGGCGAGTTTGATCTCGGACAGAGGGGCACAGATGAACGAACAGTGTAGGTTCCATCACCTCAGAATGTCGAGGTAATAGAACCTAGGGGGCAGTTGTGGGGATATATTTTCTGAGTACCAACACGTGGCCAAGGTGACGCCGACGTGTCAGCCGATGTGCCACGTGTCCTGGATGTTATGCCGAAGTCATCTCGGATAGGCCGAGGTTACCTCCGAAGATATCGGAATCCGAGATAAGTGGATGAGAGGCAAGAGTTCTAGAATGAGAGAAGACTTCAGTTTGTATTAAGATAAGACTCTTAGAGAGTTTATCCTAATCTTACTAGGAGTCCAAGATTAGCAATAATCCTGAGTCCATAGAAGTTAGGCTTCTATTGGGACTAGGTTTATGTTGGCTATAAAAAAGAGGCACCCCCATGGGTCTAAGGTATGCTTTTGATATTCTGTCTAGTGAGTTAAGCATTATTAGTTATCTCTGAGAGATATTGAGTACTGACTTGATCGTCGGAGTGCTCCCGGGTGGACGAGCCACCGTCGGAAACTCTTCTTTCTGTTGCAGGTCGTTCAAGCTTAATCTATTCTGCCGGTGCTCTCCAGCTGGGTACCTATTTGATAGTGTGATCAGAAAATCACCCACACAGTTGGATATTGTAATTAGGCCACATTTCACATGGTAAACTTACCTTTAACCATTCTCAAATTTAAAGAACAGATTTGTTGATGAAAATTTTTATGTCATTGATTACAAAATGAGAATTGCTATTCCATTATAAAGTAGAGAAGATCCAAATACACTGAGATGTACATCCAAAACACATTTATACATATAGATAACAAGTGAACTAGAGAAAGTTCACAAGTGGAGTTTTGATTTCCATTACAAATCTCCTAACTAGTTAGTCTCCTTGAGGAAGAGGAGAGCATTCAGAGTCAGAAAATGGGAGCATTTTGGGTTAACTAGAGGAGATTCTACCCGAGCCTCTGTGGCAACAAGACCAAGTCTTGGAAATGCTAGGCAAAGACTCGTCTGTTTTTGGCCTGAAGATGTTATAGACCAAAGCAGCCCCTACAGCACCAAAAGTAGGACCAACTATGTAAATCCACAGCCCCTTGTACTGGTTCCATACGATTGCTGGCCCCAAACTCCTTGCCGGATTCATTGATGCCCCTGTAATTGGCCTGCATATTCAAAATTTCCCCATCTTGAGTTTTCTTGTTGCAGAGAAGGTTTCTTGTCATTGAAACCAACAAGATTTATCTATTTCATTACCATTACTATCCCAAAATCGAATAACACATAAATACAAGAGGTGTATCTATTTTATGCACTTTGCATTTTCTGTCAGTAGCAAAATTGTAATATCAAGAATTGATAGAGCCAATTTTGTCTCTCATTCAGTTGACTAAAGTGGTTTCTCATGACGACTGCTCTTATTAGTCCGAAAACACCATTTCGACATGCTACTTTGTACTACTAAATAATGATTAGAGCAAGCACCAGTCAGACTCAGACATGGACATGCCACTTCTGTGATGGTGAAGCTTAAATGGGTTTTTAATTGTACCAAATAAAGAAAAGAAAATTTGGTTGACTTGTGCATAAGTTGTAACTAATATGAACGAATTACATACCCTGCAAAAAATACATTAACTGAGACTGTAGCTCCAATAACAAGCCCAGCAAGTTCTTTGATCTGCAAATGAACAACAAAAACAACAAGAAATTAGACAATGATGATGATGTACAAGAATCAAAATCATGTATACTGTATTATTATTATTATTATTATCATTATTAACAAATACAATAAAAATTAAAAGGGCTTCAAAGAAGCTAGTCCAATGTCCAATCTATTATAATATTATATATGTTACCATTCTTAGAATACCCTAATTTGTGTGTTACAATTAGAATTTTGAGTTAATGATGAGGTGAAGAATAAGAACTAACAGCTCTGTCATCGGTGGCGATACTGCATACGACAAACATGAGGAAGAAAGTGATAATGAACTCCAGTATCAGAGATTGAACATCCGACCCTCCCGGAGCCGGAGCTGTTCCTGCAAAGTGATCATACTTTCCATTGAATATTAGTCTTAGGGTTCCACTTGCTAGTGTTGATCCTACAACTTGAGCTGCAATATATGCCGGTACCTAGTAGTAATTAAACACAAAAATAAAAGAAATGGTTAGAATACAACATTCAAATTTCTGTCCATAACAAGGGCCTGACCAGGCCCGGCCCTGAGGGCGGGTAAGAGAGGCCTGCGCCTTGGACCTCCAAATTTGAGCTGAAAACAGAAGTCCCAAATATAATTTTGTGTTTTAGATATAAAAAAAAGGTCCAAATACTATAGGCCCAACTGAACATGAGACCCAAAAAAAAAAGAAAAAAAAGAAACGCAGTCCACAGATTTTAAGAGTTACAACCTACTGCGTCAAACTAAACTAAATATAATAAAATAAAATAAAATAAAATAAATTTAGTTAATAAACACAGACAAACCAGAAAGAAAGAAAACACATTGTCACATTCATCCTTCGATCAACCATGTCACAAGAAAGATTGAATAGGTTGGCTTTGTTATCTATTGAAAATGATATGATGGATAAATTCGATTATGCATGCTTCATTAGTGATTTTGCAGCTAAAAATGTGAGAAGAGTAATATTTATGTGATAGTTGGTTCAATTATAAACTGGATATTGCTAAACTATAAAACAACAAGACCATATTTTTATTTTTTTTGGAGTATTTGTAATGATTACTTCCTATCTTAATATATGAAAGTAAATTTTTGTTTATAATTTTATAAATAATTATATATGCAAGTAATTTTTTTGTGATTATAAACAAATAAAAAAGTTGTTGTTACTTATTATTTTATCTATAAACTTTTTTTTTTTTCAATGTAAGAGGGGGTCCCATTTCCAAAATTCGCCTTGAGCCTTGGAAATCTCAAGGCTGGCTCTGGGTCCGACTTCTCCCGACTTCTCCATAGGTCCACTTTGATCGAATCATGTGTGAGGCTTATTTATAAAATAATAATATATAATTGAAAAAAAATTATATTGATCTGAAAAGGGTAGTTTTGCTATATTAAGCGATATTGTCTATCTGATGCTTACTGTCAAAGAAAAATCTCGACATAAACTAAGTTACTCATTGTTTCCTAACTAGCTAACAAGGTGGGTTAACATTTTTTCACCCGTAAAATTTTCCAATACGCGATTAGTTGGGAGTACCCCGTGAACAATGTTATATGGAACACAAATGTCTCGTATAAACAAATCTAAAATGTTCAAAATTTTGACAGAAATTTATTTATTTATTTAAAAATAAATAAAAAGCTGCCAGCCAAATGAGACCTGAGTTTATGCAAGAAATAAGAGGCATTAGGACTGATCTAAATGGGCAAGGGAGTCAAATAAAAGAATATATTTTTTAATTACCTGCTTCCATGGAAATCTATTGCAAGAAGCAAAAGCAATGGTGATAGCAGGGTTAAAATGAGCACCAGAGATGTGAGAAATAGAGTAAACGAGAACCATCACAAGTAATCCCCATGCAATTGCTATTCCGGGGAATGTCACCACATTGTCTCTGCCTAAATTCACCACCACCACCGCACAACCACCAAATATCAGCAAGTATGTTCCTCCCAACTCCGCTATCACCTGCTATTTGTAAATCCAAAACACTTTGGTTATAATTGTTTCATAATCTTTTAAAGTCATATGAACAAATAAGAAAAAATAACTGGTTTCATTTGCTTTTGAAGTATTTTGGTTAGATGCTAAAAGCATTCAAATGAGTTTGTGGCATAAAAATTGAATAAAATTATGCTTAAGATATAAAATTATGCTAAAATTATGCTTAAGCATTCAAATGAGTTTGTAAGGCAAAGAAAATTTAAATACTATTTTAGTAAACCAAAGTTCTTAAAGAAAGAAAAGCGTTTACTTCGAGAAGTATATATGAAACCTTTATCTACAATTGAGTAATTATATTCCTGACAAAAAATGAAATCATAAAGAAAATTATTTATAAAAAAAAAAATGGAAAATGCATTAGAACATAAATTTCTAAATAAAATTATTCGTAAAAGAAAAGTTTTCAAAAATGAAAATTAATATGCAATTTCAAAAGCGCAAATAAACAACGAAATTTTCAAACCCAGCTTAGATCATAAAAACTTTTTACATTTTCATCATTAGGCCAATTCCAATGGAACTACTAAAGTTTGGAGCAATTTCTAACTCATTCACCAAAATTACATTTTTACCCCTAGCCAACCTAGAGCTTGACCCATTTGACTTATCATTCCAATCGCTTCAACATGTCATAAATGAAGAGAAACCAAAAATGCAACTTATATAAGCTATGCAACCAAAAAGGACAATGTGGGTCAGTGAATGCACAATATTAAAATGTTGTAAAAACAACAAAAGAGTAGAACACGTGATATCACCTTTTGAATGAAAGGCGCAGTGAAATAGAAGCCTGAGTGTTCATTGTTGTTGGGCACAGAGCTTGGAGAGTTGAGATTGAGATCACTATCTTTAATATCCAAACAAACAACTCCATGGTTGCTTTTAACTTCAGAAATTTGAGCCATTATTGCCTACTAGAAGTGCTAAAATTCAAATACAATATAAGACAAGACAATATATTGATCCTATTTATATATGCATATATGGAGAGAGAGAGAGAGAGATGGTCTGACCATAAGCCCCTAGTTTCTAATAATAGTAGTATTATAGTTACGTTATCACAGAGTGCAGTTATTCTTTCCTCACAAAATAAAAATAAATAAATAAGTGCAGTAATTGTGTCCATAGCAGCATTATACAAGTACATTTTTAATCAGAAAGGTCACCAAATATAGGTTCAATTGCTCATCAGTGAGGCATTTTTAAATATATTTACACTACGAAAATTTATTAGGTGCAAGTTTGGCATATAAAATAAAGGACAAATTATGACCGTGATCCCTATATTTTGACTCTTATGTCATTTTGATTATTGACTCAATTTTGACACTGAATATATAATTTTGTCTCAATTTGGTCTAATTTATTACAACTCTTAACATCTTTCATGAAAAATATGCACATAAGTGTTATGTGTCATATTTTGAAGGGCAATATAATAAGAGGAACTTACGTGTAAGTTTTAATAGGTAGATTTATTGTCTAATAAGTCTTATAATAATTAATAACGTTTTTCATCAAACACTAATAAAAAATATCACTAATTGTTAATTTTCAGTGACAGTGTGAAAATTTTATCACAAAAATATCACTAATTATAAATTTTAGCGAAAGTTTAAAAAAATTGTCAAAAAAAAAGTCATTAATTTTCAACTTTCAACGACATTTTGAAAATTGGACACAAAAAAAGTCACTAATTGTAAGTTATAGCAATAATTTATAAAAACCGTGATTAAAAAAAGTCACTAATTATTAGTTTTTAACGACATGCAAAAAATTGCCACAAAAAAAAATATTTTTAGCGATAATTTTACTAGAACTTATTTTCAATAAAACTTGAAGGTAATTAAGTTAAACTATTAGAACCTATTGGTAGTTTTTGCAAATAAATACTCCCTCCGTCCCAAAATATTGGTCCCTTTTGGGGAATCTAACTTTTTTTGGTAGTACACTTATTGGATTTGAAAAAAGTTGATTTTCCAAAATTACCCTTTTGATAGTACATTTTTTTGGGAATATCAATGCCATAATTGTACTTTTTAAATTGTTTATTAATTTAAAAGAAGGGCAAAATAGGAAATTTACATTATTTTGTACTTGATTTATAAAGAGGGACTAATATTTTGGGACAATGAAAAATGGAATAAAGGACTAATATTTTAGGACGGAGGGAGTAATAAACTTACTATATTTAGTGAGTTAATCTCAACCAACTTAGTGATAATTTTTTGTAAAAAATATTATATAAAATAAAGGACAAATTATGACTGTGATCCCTATATTTTGACTCTTACGTCATTTTGATTATTGACTCAATTTTGACACTGAATATATAATTTTGTCTTAATTTGGTCCAATTTATTACAACTCTTAGCATCTTTCATGAAAAATATGCACATAAGTGTTATGTGTCATATTTTGAAGGGCAATATAATAAGAGGAACTTATGTGTAAGTTTTAATAGGTGGATTTATTGTCTAATAGGTCTTATAATAATTAATGACGTTTTTCATCAAACACTATTAAAAAATGTCACTAATTGTTAATTTTCAGTGACAGTTTGAAAATTTTGTCAAAAAAAATATCACTAATTATAAGTTTTAGCGAAAGTTTAAAAAAATTGTCACAAAAAAAGTCATTAATTTTCAACTTTCAACGACATTTTGAAAATTGGACACAAAAAAAGTCACTAATTGTAAGTTATAACAATAATTTATAAAAATCGTGATTAAAAAAAGTCACTAATTATTAGTTTTTAACGACATGCAAAAAAATTGCCACAAAAAAATTATTTTTAGCGATAATTTTACTACAACTTATTTTCAATAGAGCTTGAAGGTAATTAGGTCAAACTATTAGGACCTATTGGTAATTTTTGTAAATAAATAATAAACTTACTAAACTTAGTGAGTTAATCTCAACCAAGTTAGTGATAATTTTTCGTAAAAAACACTAAAGATATCATTAATTGAACTAAATTGAAATAAGATTTAAAATTAAGAGTCAAAATTGAGTCAATTAAAAATATGGAGACCAAAATAGCATAAGAAGTAAAATATAGGAACCACGGGTATAATTTAACCTAAAAATTAAAAATTAAAAATTAAAAAACCTTGTACTAATTACAAGAAGTGACTTATATCTCATAAAAATGAGATTTTTTTCTTATATTTTTTTATGTCCAACTGATTTGACATTTCTCAAAAAGATGTATCTTAAGCAGGTCAAAATAGAAAATAAAAATACAAAACCCAGGTACGATTTGTTGAGTTGACACTCAAAATCACAAACCAATGGTGGCCAATGTTTTCAGTGGAGTACTTCTAATGAAGGATGTTAAAGAAGTATATATATGTCATTGTCTCCATATACAATATTATTAAACTACAAAACACGAATTGATATATAGAATTACAATATGTTTTTTACCTTCTAACAAAACCACTGGTAGCCTTTGTTGCTGTTGTTGTTTTTATTTTTTTATTATTATTATTTTTTTTTATCAGCTAAAGGAAAATGTTATTGATGTAATAAAGAGTATAACATAATTACGTCAAAAGCGGGAGCTAAGGTAAAATAGCATCAGCGCTTAGCGAATCCCGACTAAATTGACAGCAACACTCATGTCAAACCAATGCTAAACCAACCACCCAAAGGCTGATCATCAGCCAATTTTGCAATACAGAACCAATCAACTAACAAATCCTAACACAAAAACATCACAATCACAACCAACATAACCACAACAAAATACATTATAAACAAAACCATCCAATGGAGCCAAACAAAATGCAACTGCAGCAGCCACAAACCCCCTGAACCCCAAAAACATAATACAACAACATCATTCAATAAATAGCAGCAGCCTCTGTTTAAGAGATGACTACTCAAGACAAGGATGTTACTTTTGACATCTATCTCATTATGCTCCAACCAACTATATTATATTGTTAAAGGCTATTCCGTCAATAATCATTATCCATCAACACAAAAAGTCAACAGTTTGCTTATAATGTCAGAGCATCTTCAAGGGTTTAAGGATAATGCTAAATCTTAAATGACATGTGGGAAAGTGTCGGAAGCTCTAAGAAATGAGAAATCCTTAGTGACTCAAATTGAGCTGTTTTGAATGGCTTGAATTTGTGTTCATTGGTCAACCGGCCGGACGATCGGGTGAAGCACTTGTCTATCGCGGTTGGCATCTTGTTAACCATGGCTGTCAGCTTTTTTTACCGAACGACCGGCTGGACAAAATTCAACCCATTCGAGACAAAACCAAATTCGATGTACGTAGCATTGCTCCTAAGAAATATATCAAAATCTTATTTGACATTTAACATCCTTTATCAAATTTGACTTAAACCACGAAATCAATTTTTGTTCAATTTATTTATTAAATGGGCCCATTTTTAGATAGAGGTCAATAATAATAATAATAATAATAATAATAATAATTGACATTTTGGTTGAAATATTTATATCTAGATATGTTAAATTGCAAAATATCAAAAACGCCACTTAGACTTTCAAATAAATTTGGCATATCCAAATTTAAAGGTGGTGTTGGAAATACTCTTAAATAAATGTGTCTGGCTAACAAGTATTATTAGGGAACAAGAAAAAAGACAAAAACATAAAAATAAAAATAGCAAGACACTTTCATCAATTTTATAATAATTATTATTGATTTGAATTTTTTAAGCATTTTTATAATTTTCAAAATATTTTTTACATAGATCTCAGTATTGCACAATATACTCTAGGGCACTTGTTAGCATTCACTTATAAATATATTCAACGCATTTATCATTGTGGCTAATAATTATAAAAAAAAAGTATTTCTAATAATAGTCCTGAGGATTGGCAATAACAATCACATAATACTAAAATATTTATATACTCAATCTACTCTTCACATTTTTCAAAACACTTTTATATAATTTCACACTTTTTACACATTTTTCAATAATAACCCTAAAGATTATTTTCAACATTTTCCTTATAAAAATGTCAATGTTACATCCTTGATGAGTTTTACTCATAAAAATTGTGTTTGTTAATGACTTGTTATGAGTTAATATTATATATACAAACAAATTTTTTGTATATAAATTTTATGTTTTAATGGTGTAGTTTTTTGTGACTTTTTATTTGAAGGCAAAGTGTTTCTTATTGTGACTCATAATTATAAAAATGTTGTCGTGTCACATCATTTTGGATTAATTTTAGGGTAAATTATAGAAAATCTCTTTAAATTATGATTTATTTGCACTTTGTCCCTATGAACTTTAAAACTCAACACTAATCACCTCAAAGAGTATCTTGTTACATTTTACACCTTTCGTTGCGACTTTGTTAGACATTTAAATGAAATCAAGATACATGTAAAACGCATGACACTTATTAATTTTTTAAGACAATAATACATTTATCTAGTTATCTTATTTGTAAGTTTACCACTCTTACTATAGTGGCAAAGTACAAACGGGATTACCAGATAAAAAAATTATTGTCCTACAAATTTGAACAGGATTACCAGATAAAAAATTATTGTCCTACAAATTTGAACATATTGTGCAAAAGAATTTAAACATATTGCAAGATTTTAAATAATAAGAAATCAAAATTTAGTAATCTGTAACATACATGTATTCATATTTTAGATTTATTTGGTGAACTTTCCAAATGTTGTTTATACTTACATAGGTAAAATAATATACTAATTGCATAAAATAAAAAGTCATAATTTTTGTAATGCATCTTTTATACACTAAATATGGTAATTTTTTTAAAAGAATTATAAATCTAGAAATTTTGATGAAAAACAATTTTTTTTATAGGATAAACAATGAATATATTTAAATTTCAAATAGAAGTAGTTAATTTGAATAATTTTCAAAATTTTCATATTGATATAGAAAGA